TTCAAAAATAGAGACATCTTGAATTTTACGAACATCTTAAATGATTCCCATGTTCAAAACCCGTCTCACCGAGAACTCGAATGGAAAAGAAACGTCTTCGGCGACCGCAGTGTTTATTCCAGCGATGCTAAAATAAAACACGAGGCGATAAATATGATAACGCCGCTTCTCTTTAAATATCTGATACCGCGCGTCTTTACAGCGCTTCACAAGTTGCCCGCCATTTATTACCGCACCGAATTGGAAACAAAGCTCATTTTAATAAGAGATTACCCGATTGATTAATTTTTATCGACTCGCTTTTTCCTGGAACGCGATCGGATCGGTTTACAGATTAAATTATCAGTTCGTTGGACGCGTCGGAAGGTAAAAAGTATAAAAACTGATCGAATGCTATCGCGTTTCATGCATTTATCTTGCCGAAGTACGCTACCGTGCACTGGAAATTTATCAAAGTTGATAAGACTGCAAATGTTTGAGTTAGATGTCGCGATTGATCGCTACCGTCGGCCACCGGTGACCGTCACGGTGATCAACGTGTTAACGAAGTGTAATGTAATTGAGTCAGAGTGTGCTTGCAAATGACAATTTAATTATTAACGCGTTCAGCATCGTGTGACCACTGCTGCGAATATTTTACAGGAGTTTCATGTGCATTAACAGCATCTCTCGTCTTAGAGTACTTAAAACTTGACATGGTGCAGGCTGATTTCATAGATTAACCCTTTATGGGCCGAATTTTTGTTCATTATTATAACAAAATCTATGCAGTACAAAATTAATAGATATCCACATATGAATACGAATTAACAATGTATTCAATAGTTTCAATAATTTCATCAAATGAATATATTTTGTAACTTTCAAGTTATAATGACGTTAAACTTTCATGCCTGGGCGTATAAAAGTTTAAGTTAACTGATTACTTAATTTCATTCAACACTTCGAGTGCAAAATGAAATAAATCAACAAGATACCAATATACTGATATGTAACTTTAAAGTTACATGGGCCTACAGAGGGTTAACACTGTAACTATCAAATGGAGCAACCATACACCATAACTGCCATTCCTGATCACTTGTCTCGCAATGATTAAAAGACAAATGCTTTTTTACACTAAAATACAATTCAATTGAAGTCTTAACAAGTTCACTATTTTAAAGCTTCTATAAAAAAATATGGAAATGGTAAGTTTAATTGCCCAATAGTCCCGGTATTAATCGTTCAATAGCTATTTAACACTTGAAAGTTCTCCACTAGAAATATTCAACATTTTCCGACGAGACAGGCATTGTTTGAAACTAATTTAACAATAACTCACAGATAAATCAAGCAACAAAGCTATTTTATTTAACACGTTGAACGCCGCATGATATCGAGCAAAGTACACACAATGGAAAAAGTATAATACTAAATCGTTTAATGATATTGCATTATGATTATTACACGTTCATGTAGCTGAATTGCACCGTATTAGGTAGCATTATTTATAATATAGAAATGGTTTCTTTAAGTGAATTATAGTAATTCGATTTGGTTGGTCACCGGTGACCCCCATGGCATTCAACATGTTAAGTGTTCCACATAGCAACACAAAGTTTAACCCTCTGTAAACCTATGTAACTTTGAAGTCACATATCAGTATGTTGGCATATTGTTGATTTATTTCGTTGTTCACTCAAAGTGGTGAATAGTGGTGAGTAATCAGTTAACTTAAACTTTTATACGCTCAAGCGTGAAAGTTCAACGTCGTAATTTGAAAGTTAGAAAATATATTCGTTTGATGAAAGTATTGAAACTATTGAATACATTGTTAATTCGTATTTATATGTGGATATTTATTAATTTTGTACTGCATAGGTTTTGTTATAATCATGGAAAAAAATTCGGCTCATAGAGGGTTAATTTAAAATACTAAATATTCAACTTCATAATGTTCCTCTATCAAAACAAGCGATGACTGAGTCACTTCTCGAGTGCAAACGGTTAACTCAACCTACGTTCACCTGTGTCAAAAATAATTAACCAAGTCCCACCGATAATTAGCCAAGTACGAATGAAATGATCACCGTCCATCACCCAAGCAATTTGTCGCCAAGAATAGCATCTATTCGCAATAAATCACCGACGTTGCTGCGCATTTTCCAAAAAATCACACGGAACTGACCAAGCGCAAAATCGTTCTGGCCTTGGCCAAAAAGTCGCAGGTTCTTTGGCACCGGTGGACCATCGAGTGTTGCACGAGTTGCTGCTCCTGCTCTTAAAACTCAGAGGTCGGCGGCTTACGTCACCGGGGAAAAAATACTCATGCCGTGTGAACGGTGCTTCTGCCTCCATTCCGCGTCCGCCCCCTTCCGCCCCGCGGGAAGTCCCGATACGTCGAGAGATTTTGGAGCCGGAGACCACCCCGCCCGAGGAGATTGTCGAAATCGAGTGAAAATAGAAGCGTCGGCTCTTGATGGAGAAGCTGGCGCGTTGCCGGGCTTCAATTTACCTCGAATCGCGGCGATGCGCGATCCTCTTGGTCCTAAGTCCTCGGCTTCTTGGCGAGTTGTCTCTGTTTTCCAGAAAATCGTGCTCCTTTGGAATTTTAGAATTGGAGGAGTCATGGATCCTTTGGGATCAGGACTGTTTCGATGATTCAATATTAAGTCTTTTCATATTTGGAAGCTTAATATTTCAAATTAAACTTCGCATCGCTGCGTGAGATATTTAAATTAAGCGACGAAGGTGTGAATTATCCTTAAATTAGTTTCAAAATGTCGCCTGTATCTCGTCAGAAGATGTTGAATATTTCCATTGCAAACTTTCGAGTAAAGGGTTAACAGTTTAAAGGTCTCAATTTACCAAATAAGGAAACTGAAGGTTGACGAGTGTAGTTCCAGTGTTAACACTAGGTTTACGGAACGTGTCAAATTGACGCATATTGGATTTTAGAAATATTATTTTGTAAATGTTTACGCCGATTTCGATTGATGCGATCACACTGACATGTACCCCAATTACCTGCTATCAAATCTGATGATATCAAAAATGATTTAGTTACTCGAGCAAGAGAAGCACGTTGTTTCCTTTTATTCTGTTAACACTTAGCCAACCAAATGGAGATCTCCCACTTTTCACTTAGCAACGTATTGCCTTTTACTCTGTTTATCTTTTCTTTTGTTGTTTAGTAAGTCTTGAAGTCGGATTATTTGCAGTCTATCAAATGCGGTTCTTGTTTTTACAAAACACAATTTCTAACCGATTTGATTGAACGAGTTCAATTGAAAATAATGGAGGAGGTTGTAGTTATAGTTCTTTTTAGGCGGTCGCCTAAGTGTTAACACTAGAACTACCGCATCAGTCAACATGATTGGTTTCGATTTTTTTGTTTAGCAATTAGTGGTATCTTCGAAGCATTGAACATTCGAAATGATTTTGAAAATAGTTTCATTTGAGTACTATAATGAATGTCTGAAGAAATTGAAAATAATCTATTGTGACAGTTTTTATAGGAATTGCATATTAATCGTGTTAAATGCTCGGTAGTTCTAGTGTTAATTAACCGTTTGAGTGTTGAGGAACGCTGTAGTGCTCTTGTCTTGCGACAAAATTGAGAGCGCGGAGGCGCTTCTGTTTATCAGTGTCAATTAGTATTTTCTTACTATGTTTTTCAAGAAATAAATCAAAGTAAATTCATTTGAATAAATTTTGTTTTTTGATATTTTTTCGTAATAATACAATATTTGTGATCTCATTAGATAAGTACTCTTATTAATTTTTCTGCATACACACCCGATCACTTCCGCATTTTTGGTAAATATCCACAAAAGTTGTTTAGCATCCAATTGATATAGAATTCAATTTGATCTGCTGATAGAAAATTGAATATTGAGATTTGAAACGTTATTAACGTTGCACTGACAAATAGGAAACTATTCTGCTCGTAGAATCTTTGTTATTTTATGAGTTGTGGAATGAGAAACTTGAAATGCGTCGTTTCAGCTCTAGAAGTTTTGACGTTGGAAAACTTTCGAAGCTAGTTTGAAGAAGAAATTCTGTATAGAGATTGGGGAGCTCGAGCGTTGGTCGGATTTATATTTCCATGTAGCAGTCATAAACAACCGAGGAACGATTTAAAACGGAGCCATTAGATTCGAAGGAATTAAAGCTCGTAATCTTCGGTAGTGAACTCGATGCGGTTCACGGCAACTTTTCTCTCCTCGAGAGAGAAAGAAAGAAAGCGGGGTGCGCCACCGAGGGAATAAATAAACCGTGACACCGGGAAAATGAGAGCGGATCGAGTACGCTGGATACTCTCAATTTGCTCGATCAACTGGAGAAAACGGTTCCATGCTTGCCCATTCGTAGCGTGTTGAGCCGCTTCAACGTCGGCGGAATGATTGCGCGAGAATCGTTGAGACTATGAATTCAAGGCTCTGTTTAGAATAATGGTACCGATATGGTTTCCCTGTCGTTGATAATATTTTGTAGAATCGAACAGTTGCTTTGAGGATAAATCCTTTCGATAATGTTTCAATGGTTTTCTATCAAAATTAACCCTCTGCACTCGAGAAACGCCTTTCAATTGCCATTTGACCCATGAAAATGATAAAATTTATAATTCAATATTAAATTTTTATATAACGCATCAACGTATGGAACATCGAAATAAAATAGTTGTTACTTAATTTATGGAAGGTATTTCTTTATGTAAAACATATTGATATTTCATCAGAAAATGAGTATTTGTTGAGAAAAATATTCTCGAGTGCAAAGGGTTAATACTAAACTTTGCGTGACGCATAATTACGTGAAAGATCGAAGTAAAATACTTTTGTCCCTTAATTTGTCGGTTAAATTATTTACATTAGTCGCAACAAGCGTAGTTTATATTTTATCAAAGAGTTTCCGATCAAATTATTATTTTCAATAAAATTTAAATTATTCAAGGTTTTCAATCGAAATCATTTCACAATGTTTCGACGGTGAATTAACGTTTATGATGTTTGCAGGCGTCGACCATTGATGGCCGCCGGAAGGGCGCCTGCCTCTTCTGCCAGGAGTACTTCATGGACCTGTACCTTCTTGCTGAATTGAAGACGATTTCACTGAAGGTGACCACGGTGGACATGCAGAAACCACCGCCGGATTTCCGTACAAATTTCCAAGCGACGCCGCCGCCGATTCTGATCGACAACGGTGACGCCATTTTGGAGAACGAGAAGATCGAACGGCACATCATGAAGAACATTCCCGGTGGTCACAACCTCTTCGTCCAGGACAAAGAAGTGGCCACCCTCGTCGAAAATTTGTTCAGTGTACGTATGAACATTTCGTTAATCAGTTAACTGTGACTGACGAGTATACTCGTCATGGGAAAAGTTAACATTTATAAATTTCAAGATGTTTAACGTATTTGGAGACTGAGACGAATAAAGAAGTATAAATGTGGAAAAAAGGCACTAGAACTACCGAGCAGTCAAATTGTCCTGAAATTTCTCTGCACTAGATAGTGCAAGTATTGAGACTTCGATCGATTTGCAATATAGTTTGCGTATTGCTAAATCAATTTCTCTAGTGATTTAGAGAAGCATTCGTTAGCTTTTGAATAATTAGATACAAAGGAATCATTAATAGGTCATTTTGACCCATCCGGTAGTTCTAGTGTTAAGGAATTGGAATAGAATTGTCTAACTACAGGAATGTTCATGTTGCAGAAATTGAAGTTGCTACTGCTGAACGCGAAGGACAAGGACAAAGATCCAAAATCGTCGTCGCTGATGGCACACCTGCGCAAAATCGACGAGCATCTCGGCCGCAAAGGGACGCGTTTCCTCACCGGCGACACGATGTGCTGTTTCGATTGCGAATTGATGCCGCGGCTGCAACACATCAGGGTCGCCGGCAAGTACTTCGCCGACTTCGAGATCCCGGAGACACTGGTGCATCTGTGGCGGTATATGCATCACATGTACAGGCTGGACGCGTTCTTGCAAAGCTGCCCGGCTGACCAAGACATTATTAACCATTACAAGCTGCAGCAGGTAACGACCACTCGAAGAAACGAAGGCCAAATTATTGAGCATCAAATTTCACGTCTGTAACTAACACGAACAACTTGTTAATTATTCGTTATTATCGTTACAGAGTATGAAGATGAAGAAACACGAGGAGTTGGAGACTCCAACCTTCACGACCAGTATCCCAATCGAGGTCAACGACGACTAGGCTGGACCTGTGCCGTCGGGCCTACGATCTCGTCACATTGATTCAGAAAAAGATCATCATCGTCGGTATCGGTGTGGACACGGACGGTGCATACGCGACGGCGCAGTAAACAGTTTTTTACAATTGTTCCCTAAATGGACGCCTTCTGTATAGGAAGGATCGAATTAATTTATAAAAAAGAAAAAAGAAGAAACAAAACGTATTCGGAGCTTGCACGCTCCAAATCGAAAATTTCCATCGTCTCGATTTCCTTGATCGCGTCGACGTCACCTACACCGATTTACATAACACTTTTGCTACGTATCCACGATGAACAACCATCCGTCGACGCTATTTTATGGCCTAAATTGAATGCAGACTAAGTAGCTTTTTTACCGCAAGAGACAGGAAACATATACATAATATGAGAAATCTATTAAGGCTTTCAAAGACGATCAGTACGCGTGTCCAGAGAACCACATGATTTTTTCCTTTCCTTTTTTTTTCTTGTTCGTCCTTATTTTCTTTTTCTTTCTTTACCTCTATGTAGCTACGTACGACGAATCGTACGTAGTGTTGACTTGAGTAGCGTTATTATTAGAGAATGGCATTTTAATCTTTTACATTGTACTTTAGATCGAGATTTCGTGTATTTTTTTAAAAGTTTAGGCGGTTTCTCTCCTCCGTCTTTCAATGGTTAGCAATCAAATGAAGAATACAAAAGAGACGTATGCATTCGAATAGTGATTATCCGTTGAATATATCAATATATTCTTCGTTCGTTTCCTCGCCTCTCCTTGCAAACTTGTATTGTATTTATCATCCATTTAAATATTAATGAATAAAACGACGTGGCAGTGTTCGTTCTTTGAAAGATATATCCTTGTATCAACTCCCAGAATTACTCTAAATAGTCTGGATAGGAAGGGATATTCTAGTCTGATGTATTTTGTGTAGGATACAAAGTTCAAAAATAGT